ACAAAAGGGAGACTTTGTTGAACTCATCCGACAAATAGTGACCGACAAGACTGACGGCGACGACGACGAGGAGGCGAAGGCACTCATCAGACGCCGCACCACAACATCGACCGGACCCACAATACCGGCGCCCACACCAGTCGGGGCTGAGAAGAAGGATATATTGGTTGCGGCCGAAACGGTAGAGACGGGTGACGTAAAGCTCGCCGTTTATGGCAAATACGCCCGAGCGATGACCCCGTTGTGGACGGTATTGATTGTATTCAGTTATATGGCGTTCACTGCCGTCAACTCGGGCTCAAACTTTTGGCTCAACGTATGGAGCGCTGAGTTGAGTGCCGACCGGAACGGCTACTACTTTGGCATTTACGGACTCTTTGGTACAATCCAGGTGTTTGTGGTATGCATGGGATGGATGACGATTATAACGGGCACTTTGTGCGCCTCCAATACCCTACACCAGAGGCTATTGAGGGCCACACTTCACGCACCCATGAGTTTCTTCGACACGACACCATTGGGTCGGGTATTGAACCGATTCAGTAAAGACATCGATATAATGGATACGGCAATGCAGTATACTTTGAGGTTTGCCTCAATTAATTTCACATTTTAAACTTCACGCTTCAGTCTATTCGTAATATAAACTTGCTCATTTTATCAAATACAATAACAATAGGGTATTATTAAATACGAGTTTCACAGTTGTGGCCACAATTGTGATTATATCGATACAAACGCCTATATTTTTGGCCGTTTTCTTCCCGGTTATGATTGTCTACTATTGGATTCAGGTTTTCATTCATTCATTTCAAAATCATCTCTATTTACAAATTCAAACATAATTTTGATTTATTTTGCATTTAATTTTAAAGAAAATTTATGTCGTGACGTCTCGGCAACTAAAAAGGTTTGTAAATAAAAACAACTTTTATATTAAATTTGTTTTGAAATTTTTACTTCTATTTAAACACTCGCTTACCGTAGACTGGAATCGATAACCCGATCGCCAATATATTCACACTTCGGGGAAACGGTTAACGGCGTGTCCACTATCAGGGCGTACGGCGTCAACGACCGCTTTATACGCGAGTCTGACGCCCGGGTGGACAGCAATCAGATGTGTTTCTATCCCAACGCTATCGCCAACTGTTGGCTTCAAATACGGCTCGAATTGTTGGCCAATTTTCTCATATTTTTTGCGGCACTGTTTGCCGTACTGGCCAAAGGGACATTGGACCCAGGTGATACTGGACTGTCCATATCATACGCTATGAACATTACGGTGTCGTTGAATGCATGCGTCCGTATGTTTGCTGAGATGGAGAACAATGTGGTGGCCGTCGAGAGGGTTGACGAGTACTGTGGGGTCGAGTCTGAGGCCGAGTGGTATTCGGGTCAGAAGATACCCGACAACTGGCCAAACAAGGGATGCATTCAATTCACAGAATACGGCACTCGATATCGTGAAGGACTCGAACTCGTCCTCAAAGGCGTTGACATCAATGTTAAAGAAGGAGAAAAAGTATATATTTTTTGTTACATAAATAATTAATTAAAAATTAATTACATGTTCTGTATATAACAGATAGGAATAGTCGGTCGGACGGGTGCGGGAAAGTCATCCCTAACTCTGGCGTTGTTTAGACTAATTGAGGCCTCATTTGGCAGAATAACTATCGATGG